CCTGGGTTTTACCCCTTTCTCCTGCTCTTCCGGCCTGCTACTCTGTGCTACGCCCGTGCTTACCTTGCTCCCGGAGACCCGGTCCCTCTCGGGAGGGTAACAAGGGAAAGTGTTCAGTGCAGATCAGTGAGGAAACACCAGCCCGCCCGTGCTTACCTTGCTCCTGGTGACCCGGTCCCTCTCGGGATGGTAGCAAGGGATGCTGTATACTTAGTTGAGCAATTTTTTTTTACATGAAACATTATGGACGTTATATTTATCTATATAATAACATATAGATCTGCATCTTCATAAGAGTTGCATGATATCCTGTAGTTGCTGCAAAGTACATTTTGATACTCATCTGTTTATGGACATTTGTGTTATCTGTAAATTTTCACCTTTACATATTGTGATGTAATAGACATGTTCAAAATTGCTTGGATATGTAGATAAGTATTTTCATGTTATAGGTTCTAGAAGTAGAATTGTCAGGATAGTAGGTACCTGTTAAAAAAAGGGTAAAATTTTATTTTTTATTCTGGAAAATTTTAAACATAAACAAAAGTAGGGAATAGTACAATGGACCCCTTATCCATGTCAGTAATTAACATTGTGTGGCCAGTCTTGTTTGCTCCATATCCCCATTCACTCCCTGAACTCTAAAGCACCCCAACCCTGAATATATTATAAAGCAAAGACATCTCAATTTATCCATATAGTTCAGTATGTGTCTCCAAAAGTTAAACACATTTTAAAAAATAATTACAACTATGCTATCATACCTAAACAATCATTCCTCAGTATTGGTGTTCAGATTTTCCAAGTTGTATCTATCTATCTCTATCTATCTATCTATCTATCTATCTATAGATATATATAGATATATATTTTGCAGTTTGTTTATTTGGATTGAAATCCAGAGAAAATCTGTAAATTGCATTTGGTTGATATAGCACTCCTGTTGTTAGTATATAGGTTTCCTCTTCTGTTTTGTTTTCTTTATGATGTATTTGTTGAAAAAGCTTTTGTTGTGCAGCATTTCCAGCTGTCTGGATTTGGCTCATCATATTCCTGTGATGTAGTTTAAAGAGTTCTCTGTCCACTTATTCCTCTTCTAAGTTGGTAGGTCTGGAGGCTCATTTCAGATTATGGTTTGATTATTATTATTATTAAAATAATATTGAATAGGTGATGGTATGTATTTATTTATATCTAGTTCTCTTTTTGTGATGCTAGCCACTGCCTAGATCCATTACTTCATTAAGGATTTCAAAATAATGATATGTGTATTTGATCAGTATTTCTAACTTATTAATGCAAGTGCTTTATAAAGAGAATTTCTCCCCATTAACAACTTGGTTACTCTGATGTATAGTTTATATAGAAAACAGAATAAATACTTGATGTTTGCCCTTGTTAGTTTGGAGGATGCTAAGAAACCAACTAATTGTTTTTCAAAGATGACTGGTGAGGTTTTATAAAATCATGCGCTCATCATTTTAGCATATTTGATGTATTTCAGTCCTTTGTAATCATTATTCTTCTTGATGTTAAATTGCCCCTCCCATCTTTGGCTAGAAAATGATTCAAGTTGGCTTGTGAGTCTTTCTGATATTAGTGCAGTAAGATGTTCCAGGATCATCTTAGATATTTGCTTGTCTATTTCTCCAAGAAGCATTGATGCCTTTTAGTGAGATAATATTTAGAGACTCCAGTTAGGGCTTGGGGGTCCTCATTGCTATCAGGACAGGGCTAGAAATATATACATGTATATTTAAGGGAAACCATTTCGTGAGTTTATACTGATGTTCCAATTTAAATTTGGAATTACAGGATTTTCACTTCTTTAATTATGTATTGTATCTCTCTCTCTCTCATCCTGAAAAATCTTGTTCCTAATGTTAACATCATTATTTGTTGTTTTCTGCAGTATATATAATTTTTTCCAAATACCAATATTAATATTATCACTAACAATATGATAACTGAAAACAAGTTAGGATTTCTTTGCATGTATATATTTTTTTCCTTAGGGTGTATGCTCTTAAGGAAATACAGTCAAATTGCTGTGTTTTAAAATGAGATGAAATGCTTTCATTCCACTATGGTTAAGCCATCAGCCAGATACATGGGTTCCTTCATTTAATTTTGCCCCAACTGCAAACTTGGATGATACACTTGATTGCAGATAGCACTTCTTTATTTATTTCATTTTCTTTTATAATTATGTAAAATTATATAATTTGAAAATTGTTTCAGAGTCACATTCCAAGAAGTATAACTTCTATCCCTGCTAGCCCCTTCACAGTGTCTCCTTCCTCTACCCATTAGTAACTACTTTTATTACTTTTTGGTTTATCCTTCCGTTTTGAATGAATAAAAGCAAATATGTGTATTTATTCAAATCTCCCCTTTTCTTAGATTAAAAGGTAGTCTTCTGTACATATTACTCAACACCTTGCTTCTTTTCCCTTAACAGTACATTCTGGAACTTTGTGTGGCAGTTGTCTGATGACTTTTTACAGAGCTTTAGCATTCCAGTGGGTGGATGGGCCATAGTTTACTCAACAGTTGCTGCACCAGTGGACATTTTCCCCCAGACTTTCACAGGAACCCAAACTCAGGTGATTTGGTAATTGGCAAAAATGATTTTAACGATTGTTTATGGAATCCATTTCCTGTGCATAAAATGAAAGCTTTAGCATATAAGCACATACACTAATGACAAGAGATTTGTGATTAATGAAAATAGAAACAATTTCCTAAATGTCCTGTTCCGGTGGGTGTAACAAAAGATAGGGAAACAGGAGTTGCTAGGGCCCTTTCTGGTTTGAAGGGGGCAAGGCGTTGCAGGTAAAGAAATGTGAGTTCATCTGGGCTTTCTGAAATTCAGAAGCTGTGAGACAAAGAACTAAGTTCGTCCTTTTGTCTCTGATTTCTGTTAATAGCCCAAGCAATGAAGGTGTTCTTTGTTTTGAAAAAAACATGCAGGAAACACTTGTTAGGTGCCTCCTGATGTTAGGACCAAAGTACTTATTCCAGCTGTACTTCCTCAGAGACAGATGTGTTCATTCTTCTGGTATTCCATGGTGTATTCAGTATTCTTCGCCAAAGCTGCAACCACATGAGTTGTTCTTCTGTCTTCCTTGTTTATTGTCTAGTCTTTGTATGCACATGAGGCTATAGGAGGCAACCATATATTTTTTTTTTCCTTCCAAAAAAAAATTAACCTGTGTATGCTTTCACTCAAAGTCTGGGTCTGATTTATAGATAAAGGATCAAGTAGATAATGGTATGAGAGTAACTGGTAGTGTCTCTTAAGCAGTTGAGCATTTAAATACGAAAAATATTATTTAGAATTTGTTTCCCTGCTAAATAAAGCATGGTGTTTCTTACACCCAGATCTTGAGCAGAATGAATGCACATTTGCTCCTTTGTCTTGATTCTACCATTTGTGATCCTGTGACATATGCCTTTCAGGAGAAACAGTGTGGGTGACCGTGAGAAGGCGCTTCAGGTCGTGCTCCAGGTTCTGCAGAGCAGTGACCACCCGGCCCCCGACATGTTCTGCCTGTGTGGGAGGATCTACAAGGACATTTTCTTGGATTCTGACTGTAAAGATGACGCCAGCCGAGATAGCGCCATTGAGTGGTAAGCCCTCAGCCCTTGTGAGTAGCATGTCCTTCTCTGCAAGGGACAGAGTCACATTGGGTGTAAGGGACCAGTTCCTTTCACTAAGTATGTGTACCTGCCTGTCTGCCAGCAAGTGGGACAGAGACAGCAATAAATGTGCTATGAAATTTTCCAGGATCCCTTTCGGAGAGGAACGTATTACAGGTAGAGTTTTCTACCGATGACATATTTTTCTCACAGGTGCGTTCATTTATAGGGGCAAGAGGAGGTTGAGCACACTCCTTTCCCATAGTCCCTTTCAGAACTTCGTTTCCCCACTGTTGGGGTACTAGCATTCAGTGAGCTGTCAACTCGTTCATTTATCCAACAAATAGTTATTGAAGGCCTACATGTGCTAGAAAGGTTAGGTGGTAACAATACAAACAAGCAGCTTGGTGGTTCGTACTGTTAACTTAAAGGCTGGTGGTTCAAAGACAGCCAGCGGTTCAGTGGGAGAAAGACCTGGCAATTTGCTGCTGTAAAGATTATAGCCTAGGAAACACAATGAGACAGTTCTACTCTGCCACACGCGGTTGCTGTGAGTCGAAAATCAACTAAACAGCAACTAACAACAATAATAGGATACAGACATGACAGATAGGAATCTCTGCCATTGGGGACCTTGCATTGCTTGTAAGGGAAGTCAGACAGATAAAGAGGGAACACATTAGGGCTGCCAGCTGTTGGTAAGGGATATGGAGCAAAGGAAAGCAGGGATGGAGTAAGAAGGATGTAGAGGGGTGGTCTGTAGTTTTAAATAGTGTCAGTGAAGGTGAATTAAGACATGAAAGAAGTGAGGAGAGGAACCTTTCAGTTACCTTTGGAGAAGACAAAAAGAACAAAAACTCTAAGGAGGAAGCATGTAGGGGTGAGGAGTGAGCAAGGGGGAGAGTGATAGGAAACAGGAGGGGAGAAGACCATGAAGGACCCATAGGATTTTAAGTTTTACTGAGTGGAATAGTCCATATAGGAGAGTGGTAAGCAGAAAAGTGACAAGATAAGACATATGTTTAATAGTATACTCTGACTGCTGTGCAAAGAATAAAGTGGAGTAGTAGTAGTTGTTGTTAGGTGCTGTCCAGGCAGTTAGGACTCATAGCGGCCCTGTGTACAACAGAATGAAACACTGTCCAGTCCTGTGCCAGCCTCACAATCCTTGCTATTCTTGAGCTCATCGTTGGAGCCACTGGGTCAGTCCACCTCATTGAGGGCCTTCTTCCTTTTATATTTTCCCTGACCCTCCATTCCCTCCTTCTCCAGGGAATGGTCCTTTCTAACAGCATGACCAAAGTAGGCCAGACTTGTCTGGCCATTCTCACTTCCTAGGAGCATTCCAGCTGCACTTCGTCCAAGACAGACTTATTCGTTCTGGCAGTTAATTGTACTCTTAGCATTCTTCTCCAACACCACAACTCAAAAGCATCAACTCTTCTTCAGTCTTCCTTATTCATTGTCCACCTTTCACATGCATATGAGGTGACTGAGAATAACCATGGCTTGGGTTAGGTGCACCTTAGTCTTCAAAGAGACATCTTTGCTTTTCAGAACTTTAAAGAGGTCTTTTGTAGCAAATTTGCCCAATGAATGCATCATCTGATTTCTTGACTGCTGCTTACATTGGTGTTGATTGTAGAACCAAGTAATAAAAAAATCTTTGATGACATCAATCTTCTCTCCATTTATTGTGATGCTGCTCATTGGTCCAGTTGTGAGGATTTTTGTTTTCTTTCTGTTGGGACGTAATCCATACTGCAGACTGTATTCTTCAGTCTTCCTCAATAGGTGCTTCCAGTCATCTTCCCTTTCAGCAAGTGAAGTTTTGTTGCCTGCATATCACAGGTGGTTAATGAGTCTTCCTCCAATCCTGATGACACATTCTTCTTCATATAATCCAGCTTCTTGTATTATTTCTTCAGCATACACATTGAATAAGGATGGTGAAAGGATACAACCCTTATGCACTCTTCCTGATATTAAACCATGCAGTATCCCCTTGTTCTGTTCAAATGACAGCCTCTTGGTTTATGTACACGTTCCTCATGAGTACAATTCAGTGTTCTGGAATTCCCATTCTTCTTAATCGTATCAATAATTTGTTATGATCCATGCAATCAAATGATTTTGCATAGTCAATAAAACACAAGTAGACATCTTTCTGGTATTCTTTGCTGATGTCAGATGTATCTTGGCTGAAAGTAATGATATCCCTCATTCCACATCCTCTTCTGAATCCAGTTTGCATTTCTGGAAGTTCCCTGTCAATATACTATTGCAACCATTTTTGAATTATCTTCAGCAAGATTTTACTTGAGTGTAATATTAATGATATTGTTCAATAATTTCTACGTTGTGTTGGATCACCTTTCTTTGTAATGGGCACAAATATACATCCCCTTCTAGTCAATTGGCTATGTAGCGGTCTTCCAGTTTTCTTGGCATAGATGAGTAAGTGCTTCTAGTGTGGCATCCATTTGTTGAAATGTCTCCATGGTTATTCCGTCAAGTCCTGGAGCCTTGTTTTTTTTTTTGCCAATTCCTACAGTGCAGCAGCTTCGGCTTCTTCCTTCAGTACTATTGGTTCTTGATCATAGGCCACCTCCTGAAGTGGATGAACATCAACAAGTTCTTTTTGGTACAGTGACTCTGTGTATTCCTTCCATCTTCTTTTGATGTTTCCTGCATCATTCAATATTTTGCCCATAGAATCTTTCAGTACAAGAACTCAAAGCTTGATTTTTTTTCTTCATTTCTTTCAGCTTGAGAAACACTAAGCATGTTCTTCCTTTTTGGTTTTCTAACTCCAGGTCTTTCCACATTTCATTATAATAATTGACTTTGTTTTCTCAAGCTGCTCTTCGAAATCTTGTTCAGCTCTTTTATTTTTTTGTTTCTTCCATTTACGTTAGCTACTCTCTGTACAAGAGCAAGTTTCAGAGTGTCTTCTGACATCTATTTTGATCTTTTCTTCCTTTACTGTTTTTTTTAATGACCTTTTGCTTTCTTCACATATGATGTTCTTGATGTCATCCCACAATTCTTCTGTTTTTGGGCAGTGGTGTTCAGTGCATCAAACCTGTTTCTTTGGATGGTCTCTAAATTCAGGTGGATACAATCAAGGTCATATTTGGGCTGTCATGAACTTCTTTTAATCATCTTCAGCTTCAACTTGAACTTGCATATGAGCAGCTGATGGTCTCTTCCACAGTCAGCTCCTGGCCTTGTTTTGGCTGAAGATACTGAGCTTCTCCTTTGCCTCTTGCCACAGATATAGTCAGTCTGATTTCTGTGTACTCCATTTGGTGAAATCCATGTGTATAGCTGCTGTTCGTGTTGTTGAAAAAAGGTTCTTGCAGTGAACAAGTCATTGGTCTTGCAAAATTCTATCATGTGATCTCCAGCATTATTTCTATCTCCAAGGCCAAATTTTGCAGCTAACGGTGATTCTTCTTTGTTTCCAACTTTTGCATTTCAGTTACCAGTGATAATCAACATACCTTGGTTGCATGTTTGGTCAATTTGAAACTGCAGAAGTTGGTAAAAATCTTCAATTTCCTTGTGTTTGGCTTTGGTGATTGGTATGTAAATTTGTTTGAATAATAGTAGTATTAACTGGTCTTCCATGTAGGGATATGGATATTATCCTATCACTGACAGCTTTGTACTTCAGGATAGATCTTGAAACATTCTTTGTGACAATACATGCCACGCTATTTCCTCTTCAATTTGTCACTCCTGGTATAGTAGATCATATGGTGGTTTGATTCAAAATGGCCAAAACCAGTCCATTTCAGCTCACTAATGCCAAGGATGTTGATCTTATGCATTTAATTTCATTTTTGACAACTTCCAATTTTGCTAGATTCATACTTTGTACATTCCATGTTCTGATTATTAATGTATGTTTGCAGCTATTTTTGTCCATTTTGAGTCTTGCCCCATCAGCAAACGGAGGCCTCAGAGGCTTTATTCCATCCACAGCATTAAGGTCGACTTTACTTTGAGGAGGCAGCTCTTCCCAGTTGTAATTTGAGTGCCTTCTGACCGTAGCAGCTCATCTCCTGGCAGTATATAGGGCAGTGTTTCATGGCTATTCTTAAAGTTTTCCAGTAATATATCAGACAGTGTTTCACCGCTATTCATAAGGTATTCACTGGCCATTTCTTTGAGAACTGGTTGGCCCCTTCCTCCTGCCAAGTCTGTCTTAGTCTGGAAGCTCCACTGAAACCTGTCCTCCATGGGTGACCCCTGCTGGTATTTGAAATACCAGTAGCATAGCCTCCAGCCTCACACCAACATAAAAGCTACCAGAGTATGACAAACTGACAGACAAGTGGTGGGATAAACTGGAGGAGGTATATTAACTGTCTTGTACTGCATAACAAACAACCTCAAAACAGTGGCTTAAAACAATGATTTATTATTTCCCATGATTCTTTGGCTTGGCCAGGTAGTTCTTCCTCTGTTGGCTTTGCCTAGGCTCAGTCCTAAAGTTGCAGTCAGCTGGAGGGGCAGCAGGGCTGGAAGGTCCAAGATGGCCTCACACATTTGACAGCTGGTGCTGGCTGTCAGTAATGTGCCTTCGTTCTCTACCATGTGACCTCTCATCCAGCTAGACCAGCTTGCTTACATGGTGTGCAGTATTCTAAGAGAGCAAAGGTGGAACCCACAAGGGTTCTTGAGGATTTGCCTCAGGAACTCACATAATGTCACCTCTGCCATATACTGTCGGTCAAAGGCAATCCCAAGACTAGCCCAAGTTCAAGAATCTGGGGAAATAGACTCCATCTCTGGAGGGAGGAGCAACAGAGTTGCATTTCAAAGGTGTATGCCTGTTGGGATGGGAGGAATTTGTGACCCTTAAACAATTTTCCATAGGGTCAGTGATAGAAGCTGGGAATATTTAGGGTGGTATTGCAGTAATTCAGGGAATCACCAGGGTGGTGGTAATGAAAATGATGAGAAGTCAAAGTCTGGATGTA